GAGAGATTTGCAGCAGACATGTTACATTATGCATACAAACTGTTTTTATTGCCCAAGCTGACATTTTGATGACGATAAAAGAACAACTTTGGGCATCTTCTATCACTTTTCATGAGCATAAACTATCATACTTAAAACTCCCTGTCGTACTTCTGGTGGATAGACCATAACTTTACTGAATATCAATCTCTCGATCTATGCAGATATCCATAAGGCAATGAGAACCCCGACTAACACAATCATCTTTTCCTCCCAGCTCCAGTGTTAAGTATTCTGAGCTTGCCATATAACACTTATTACAGTTCCACAGGCTTCTCTCTTGCAAGTTATTGTACACCAGGACACTGTGGCAATTGTCCAGCTCCCTCCAATGGGAACTAGACATTAGAATGCTTCCATCGCAGTTTGCTCATGTAGCCACATATTAAATAATCATGCCTCAAATATACATCATTCTCCAAGTGAAGTTTATATTGACGCTCCTTTGTCCATTTTTACAAACAATATATTTTCCTAATGGAGGATTGTTTTTGCATATACTAGAAAAAACAGCTGAAGACAATCACAAGCAGCAATAACAGGATCATTACCAAGTCTTCTTCTTGTTAATGGACGTTTATTGGCAACCACAGTATATCAACAACACCGGGCGCTATCTGATCCAGTGTGCAGGTGGGGGGGGGTAATGGATACCAATCAGTCAGTCTTATCTCTACTATACAGATGAGTATGCAATCGTATCCAAGCAGAGATCCAATGAAATCACTACAAAGTCAAATAACACAATAAATCCCAGAATAATAAGACCACAGTGTTGTGTGCAATACATGGGGATTGAGTCACTTGGTTCGTCCACCATCCTTCCTTTTAAGGCAGTACGGAAACGTTTGGGTGAGGTTTTTTTGTGTTTTCCCACGAACGAGTATGGATCCGAGCGTGTGCCAGAATTGTAAACTCATTCATAGCGGAGTCATTGCCATTGATCATCAGTCCCATCAATCACCCACACACCTTCTGATCAGATTGTGCAATGGAAAGCTAAAACCCTTACTCACTGCGCCATTAATAACTTATCTCCCACCTTATACAGTAAGAGGGAGTCACTCATCAGCATATAACCTTTTGAATAGCCACATTTGGTGGACGTGCACTCAGTATTATGCTGCAGTGTTGTGGACTTGGGAGGGCTGTAAAAGTTCAACCATGTCAAGATGTCCTTTTCTCTCATTTGTATTTTATTGATATTCTAGCGATGGATGCTAGCCCCGCTGGGCTCAGAAAAGCGAGCAACAGGTGATGGATGAATAGACATTATTTAAGAGGAGTCATGGCAGGCGACTAAAAGGCCGAAAAACAACAGCTCTATTATTTGTTCTACGTTTTTCTGTAACAAAAACAGCCACAGCCTCTTGAGAGGCGACAACATTGTGATTAAACATATTTACTGTTGACAAAGAAGTTTGATGCGCTATTTGTCAGACTCTTTACATTGTTTAATGAGGCTGTGGTCATTTGAGGAAGGCTATATATATATACACCTTCACAGTTTAAACAAATAAGCTATCCCTGTAGAGATGCCATATAATTATATACCAATAGGCCAATAAAGTCATAAAATGCAACCTGCTGACGTAATAAACAAACTATGCAAAAGGGAATATATTATCGAGAAATGTCTGCTTCCTGCTGAACCCAGAGCCACTTACTGTTATTGCATCTCAGCTTTAGGAGTTTTGGAAACCCAGGGGAGAGCATATAGACTTTCTTAATGCGGATATGTGCTTGGATCATCATATGGTTCGTAGAGATGTGTTCTGCAGTGCTCAACGGCTATAAGGCTATTTCAGGACCTACAGTAGTATTAGATTAGTATCAAATCTTGAAGGGAAAATGTGCCACCTGTCATGTGGATGTCTCATCAGAGGTGATGGTAAGTGTAGTCCTTCTCGCATGCATTTGTTCTGTATAATCTTGCTTGAATAAATACAGATGAAAATTATGGGATGCAATTTTCACCTTTGTGCACATAAATAGTTTGCATTATAAACCAAGGGAACAAGGAGGTTCTGTTTTTGAGCTGCGTCTAGAACACGTCAATGTGCTGCAGAATTCATTTATTCTTCTTTTTTTATTTGCTTGATGCGTTCAGGACCTTGGAAAAACATAGTTGTCCAACATCTTCACTGATTAGACATCCACAGAAAAATGGGTGAATTTCTCTTTTTAAGCTCTGATCCCCTAAACCCCTATATATTTGACTCGGGCAAATGGAAACAAAAGGTTGAAAGGTTGTCACGTTCTATGATGTACACATTACATATCCGCTGTAAGTTTTGCTTTTGAGAAATGAAGCACAGAGAAAGTCTTTGATGCATATAGCTTAAAGCAGATGTTAACCCTGTGAGGATTTTATTAGTTTTCAGTGAGGACTTTAAGTGTCGGAAAATTGCCTGTAAAATAGCTTTTTCCCTTGACAAGGGTGAAATGATGAGGAAATGAGACACACTGAGCGAGACAACTTCACTAAGTACTTTTGACAGAAGTGCGGTGTGTGTGGCCAGGATGCAGCAGCCGTGTAGGTGATGGGGTTATGGACGTGCTAAAGAGACCACCCCGATAACAGCCTTCTAATAACCATGTCTTATTACAGAAGTTGTTCAAACAGACACATATCATATGCGATGATATGAGCATTTGATGTCTAAATAATTGTGATACAACCATATTAAGATGTGGTTAAACATCTTTAAAGAGTTGCTCATTTTTATGATTATATGTCAGCCTTTGCAGACCATTTGCATGCACAGAGACACACTGCAGGAAAAGAAAACCACAAAAAGCATAATAGGGCCTCTTTGCAGCAGGTCACCCTTGAAAAAGAGATCAATGATCTCAATGGGATTCACCTGCATAAATAAAGATTTGAAATGAAATGACTTTCACTTACCTTACACTTATATTGCCGATATGCCACAAATCTTTTTTAAGCAGGCGTTTCTTTTTTACATTATTATTCCTGTAATACATTTAAATCAAGCTTTATTTGCACTTTTCTACCACAATAGCCAACTAGCGACCTTTTTAAGTCACTCATACGGATATTGACAATTATCCCAATAATGGAAATTCCCCCCAATTTACTTATTGTGTTTTTTACCACAGTCCACTAAGACAATCCTAGATCTGCTCATTTCCTTACATCTTCAAACTGTGTTGGAGACAACGTTTGAAAATGAAGAAAACACATTTCTCATGCTGTTTGTAACCAAGCAGCTTATGACATTTTGGTTGATAAGACATTACTCACAGTAACACTTTAGAATGATGACAAACCATTCAACATTTGTATCTACTGAAAGCTGAAGAAAGTGCAGGTATCTGCCTGGCAGGAGACAGTTAATCACCCGTCAGTCTGGCTTCGTGAGAAACGGTGAAGATAACACCGTGAGCAATGATGTGTGTATGAAACATACTGTAGTGGCTCCTCGGGGCTTCCTTCCTCAAAGAACAGAAATGTATCTGATGCATCATTTGATACATGACTTTCAAATCCGCCTGAAGGAAATCAAGCTGAAGAACTCATTAGACCAAATAATACGATATTATTTTGCTGGTGTTGCTGCTAAAGATGCATATTTTAAGGAACATTTTCATATGAAACCGTAAGGAATCTGCATCTCCCCCGTGCAAAGCTCTGCCCGCAGAGACAGCGACCGTGCAGCTCTCGGTCCAGAATCAGATAAGTGTCAACGTGCATTGGGCTGAAAATCCATACTTATAGGAGTTATTTTAGTGACACTGGGCCCATTGTTCCTCTGTAATAACTATGCAGCTCCCACAACAGGCCTCTGTTCGGGCCATTATTAGCATGCAGATTCTCTGGTGTAGTGCTACACCATTTCTGCCAGTACAGTGTGGATATTGTTTTCGGAGGCAGGAATGCACTGGATGTCCTCCGCTGTGGGAGCGGGGCTAACTTAATGGATAGCTGTCAAAGTGGACATTAGAGAAGCAGCTGTATTTCCATCCCGCTGGAACTGATAGGAACATTGCTTTTTCATGGGCGAAGTGAGAAATGAGCCGTGATAATGCAGGGAGATAAGAGCTAATGCGCTCCGCAGGGTTCACTCTGTAGCAAGGTGGTGAAGCATTTCACAGAGAGATTCCATTCTTTTTAAACCTAATCCTGCAAACGCACTTTTTTTGTCATATCTCAAAGGTTCTTTATTCTATCTTTTCCATTTGTAATGACATTGATATCCAATTACCTCCTTATGACTTCATATAATTGTTTGAAAAAGTGCTTTTTAATGATACCAACTTATTAGGGAACCTAGCCAAAAGTTATTCAACCTATGGTGTTTAAATACATGGAACCTTTTATGTGCTCATGTTTGCCACGGGTCCTAATTTAAAGTCACACACTCTCAGGGGGGTAGGGGTACGCTGTAACTCTTTCTTTTTACACATTTTGCAAATAAGCTATACGTTTCCCAAAATCTGAATAATATGCCATTTTATTCCAGACATTAATTGAACAACTTAAAAAACCTGAGAAGAAAAAATTAAGTTTTGCTATGACGGTTGATTGTATACTGTAGTTTACTCTTGGGGAACCCAGTCTGTAGTTTTTTCTATTAAATATGTTGGAAAGATGATGGTTAATTGTTCAAATTGTATGAACCCACTTTTAAACTGTTTTGCTGTCATACATTCGGAAAGGCTTTGTGCAAGCTCTCTAATGAACCTGGGAACACCTGCTTACATTGTTTTGACCCAAAGTCAAAACAGTGCTTAGGAATCAAATTAACCCTTTATAGTTGCTCTGATCTACAATTATACAATTTCCTGTTGGTCAGGTAAGATATTCCAAGTTAATAAGTGAACTGTAATTGGTCTGTGGTGCAGCAGGAAGGGCTCTGGTGAAAAGAGCCCATTGTGCTGCTGCTGCTGCTGCTTGTTGTGTGAGCCCATAGTTGACCCTTGTTGTTTCTGCGCAGGCCTGGGTGAGGCAGATGCGGACCAGAACAATGGCTGCGTCTCGGAGAAGCCGGCGGTGACTGACTCCACGGGTGCTGAGGGCCCCCCCCAGCCCTGGCCCGACGCCAGCACAGCTGACCCTGACGCCGCCACGCCCCGCCCCCACCTGGCCCGCCTCTTCTCCCGAGATGCCCCGGGCCGAGAGGATAACACCTTCAAAGAGCGACCCTCTGAATCGGACGAGCTACAGACCATCCAGGAACACAGCGGAGCTTCAGAGTGCGGCTCAGACTACCCCGAACAGGACTTAGACTAGGCTAGCTTTTTTTTGTTCCCTCCCTCCTTCTGTTTTTTCTCTCTTCTCCCGCCTCTATTTTTTCAGTCTCTCATTTAAGAGAGCAACACAAACCCTACTTTTTGACACATACCGACCACTACTACAAACATAACATGGCATCCGCAAGCCAGAAGAAGAAGGCCCCCGGACTCATGGATCAGATCGGAACCTTCTTCGGAGGGGACAAGAAGAGGAAGAGCAAGGTGAGGAAGCAGGGAGAGGCGAGATGAAAACTCGAGCCCTTCTCGTGTAAATGTTCATTCTGCTGATGCATTCCCAGAACTTTTTACTTCTGATTCTTTTACCAGATCCTGTCAGAATCCATCGCAACATAGAGTGTCATATAGTTGATTTTACCGTTGTTTTTTGTTGGTGAACCAAAGTCTGGCTTTGTCCTATGATTCACTTTGGCTTGAGTCGACACTGGATAGTGACTTTGGGTGGGGTTGGTTTTATTTCTTATTACAAGGAGCTGTCATTTTTTGAATCATTTAAGGATACATTTCTATATAATTATGTGTATTTTCTTTCATTTGAATGGTACTGACATTGGTAGCATTTTTTCTCTTCAGTTAAATTTAATATATCTGTTGTGTACGTGATTTGGTGGAATTGCTTGCTGTTTGTTTGTGAGGACGTCAAACAGGAACAGCCGTGTTTCTAGGTACTTTCCGTAATGATGATGTTGTAAGAGACGGGCCTGTATCATTTAGATATAATAGCCGACATTATTTTAGATGTTTTTTACTCAGCAGAGTACATAATGCTTCTTTGATGTCTCTGTCTCCGTGGTACTTTTACAGATCTGTGATCAGGGAGGGACTTCTCCTGTTTGCACGGTACAGCAAGCCGCTAAGTCACTTTCAAAGTAAACGGATCACATTATGCTATAAATGATCAAAGAGATATACGATGTATATTATCATCAAATATATATAATAGAGTAGGAGCATATTATCATCCCCTGCTTGGGAATATATACAAGAGCCTGCATTGTATAAAGTAAGAACAGGCTTGTGGTATATTGCGGGTAAGTGATAATACAGAATTATCGCTTTAGAATGACTTGTACCTGCATGGCTTTGTTTGTTTCTTTGGTATACAGGCATTTTGACCCAAAGTCAATCTGAACACCACAATGATCCGGTTTAGTTGGAGTGTCAGTTTAGTTCCATTAGTGCTCCTGGCACCAGTTTGGGCACACTGCCTGGAGGCAGGAAGGAAATGGATTTCAAGCTTCAGCACCAAATGTGGTGAAAATATTGAGCATTGATATTTTGGTTGATCACTACTGACAACACGCTGAAGCCAAATCCCAAAAAGCTGAAAGGGAACATTTTCTCTTTTCAATATCAACTTTCTGCTCATTCTGATTTAAAACATGGAGAGTTTCCCTACAGCTAACTAAATCCTGAAGGACAAAAAAAATATATATATATATAAATATATATTTTTTTCTGTCCCGCTGTTCAAACTCTTATCAGCAGCTTTAGCAACGTCATTGCAAATAAATCACTGCAGCAGCATGAAATATGCATCTCAATATGCATCTCCCCTCGCCTTATGTCCGCTATGAAAAGGTGTCCAGTGTAGGATTCAGGATCAAAAACATATTTTATATATACTGTATGCTACAAATCTTTCTGCTGATCAGACGTTTGTTTTGCTTTTGGAAAATGTTACTCGTGAAATGTTCAGGGAATAATGTCAACAGAAGAAATTGTGAAGCTTTCATTCAACGTTAGGCTAGTGAACAATTTACCGCAGTATTTGTTTGATTTTTCGTATTCTTTATGCCATAAAATTGTACATTGCTCTGCATTGATGACAGGTTTGCTAAAACAAAGTTGTACAAATATATATATTTATGTATATTCACCAAGGGTTTGCCTTCAAATGATGAGTGTTCATGACAGACAGGTTCGCCCCACCTCCGTTGCCTCTAGCAAAAGATCAAGCTGCGCTATCTTTCTGCTGCAAATGCTTCTTTTTCCAGCAAGAGAACATCATGAAGATATTTTCAAAGCTTTGTTTCTGATCTGCCCGGCCTGTCAGTGCGCACAGAATCTCCTTTTAACGTAAACTTTGCGGCAGTAGTTTTGGAAAAGATTGCATCAGTGTTTTCTGTTCAATATGCATGTTTACCTGCGTAAGGCTGAGTTGTTTTCAGCTGAGGCAGCTGTGGAGACATTTTCAAACTGATCCCTTCTACTATTCATGTCCTTTTATCAGATTTTACTTTTATCCAAGCCCCAATCAGGGCTTTGAGAAAATGCTAATACGTCAGCAGGAGGTGTTTCATAAACAGTTGTGATGACGCCAACACCCCAGTCTCAGGACATGAAACAACTCCCAAAAACAAATCGGCATTTGAATGCTTTCTGAAGTTGATTATTTCAAATGACTGGGATGATGATGTACTAATTAGAGGGGAATTAACTTTGCATCAGCTATTCTAGCAGAAATGTAGACTCATAAAGAACAGAACATGTGTTTTATTATTATTCATTGAGTTTAAAATGCAGTGCAGCATTACTGTGTACAGATCAGGCTTCAGCTCACAGTGAAGTGTCTTGTGATGCTGTCCTCTACCCCCAGTGTCTTGGATGCAGAGGGGGAGTTAGCACCCCCTCCTCTTCCCCTCACATCAGTTTGCTCACCTCAGGTTCACATGTCCCGACCTGTCAGAGAGTTGGTCTGAACCAGCAGTGGATCTGTGCTGATCCCTGTTTTATAACGCCTTCAACTTTGCAGTGTTTGTATCTGTTGTGAACTGTTGTGACTGGCGACCTGTTCCTAACCCAATCCTGTTTTAAAGCTTTTTGGATTACTGCTTGATTAAAACTCTTTAACAACAACCCTCAGTGCTCTCTTTGTTTTTGTTTTAATGCTCCATGTCTCTTTTGGTTCTTTTTCTGTTTGTTAAAGTGAAATATATTGTTTTAACAAAATTGTCTTTTCCAAAAAAGTAGCTAATAGAGTGCTGCAGTGATGATGAATTGTCTGTAGGAAAACCCAGATGTTAGCATCGTCAGGGTTCCCTGGACTAAAGTAAAGGGATTTTTGAATAGTGCAGAAAATAAGATCTTAGGAAAACAATAGTTTATGATACTTACATGTTATGTCCAGCAAAATAATCTCCACATATTAACACGGATTTTAAGATTTTTGAAGCGTAAATGCAATCGGCTGAAGTAAAAAGCTAACCATATTGACGTTTGTTGTTAGAGAGCGACCTTTAGTGGCCACAGTAATTATGGCCGAAGCAAAGGAGGAAGTCAGTTTTCTACAGAGTGGGGAAGTCCACAAAGCATTTTGGGTAAAAAAAGAAACACAGAACATCACCCACGAGACCAGTGTTCATATCTAGTTTGAAACAAAGATTGTTAGTTTAAATTACGTACGGAACAACATTACTACTAACGTTGCGTAGCTACTACATCACCATGTTACAACATACTCTCGGTACATAACTATGTCACTTAGCCTACATACTCAATTTAGCCCTAACCAGGATCTTTTTATTAACCAAGTGATTTTGTGTCTAAAAACAACACACTAGTTATATTTCTCAACGTATGATGTGTTTTTATACTGCTTTGCTAACAACTGGTTACAGCCAGCCACTGGTTTGTTTGAACTTTGAAAAGTGACCAAGAATGTAAAACACATTTTTTCAACAAATGGGTTTTTCCACCCTTTAAGACTATATAACCAATCTATATATCCCAGAGTACAGTCTATGTCATACATACTTGAAAACAAGGTTTAAAGGAAAGCAGAGTTACTGTTAATATTCAGTACTATGGTTGTGCACTAAAGAATGAAATCTAATGTACTGTATGACTGGCTGAACTTGTTTGTGAGAGCCTGTGAAAAGGTAAGAAGAGAAAAATAAATTACCTTTTACTCTTTTCACTCACAGTTTGCCCACTACAGGGCTTTGTAATCGCCACAAGACCAATGTTCTTGTTTCCTGGAGTATGTGAATTGAAAAAGTAGCAGCATGTTCAATTGGATTACAAAAGCAAAAACATCAGAAGTTCAGTCGATACAGGCTTATTTTTATTTCTATTTAAGCATAAAAAATGTGTTTGTGTTCCCTTGGTCAGATGAACCCAGAAGCCCAGCAAAGAAAATTGTTGCAAAATGAAAAACAGTCTGGGATACAATTGTATTTGATGTAAAAAAACAGGCTGTAAATGATTAACCCTGAATATTGAAACCAGGCCTGCCTTATCAGTCATACATGAAAGAGACTTTGTGTATAGCCTCAGAGTTAAAGAAATGTACGCACAAATATTGCTCAAGTATTTCATTTTTAAACTGGGTTATGTGCTGCAAAGCAAACAAGATGTAATTAGGCTTTAAAGGACGAAAGTTTTTTCAGGGGAGGTTGGCTGAGCAATATAATAGGATATCATTATATATGTTTGGACCTTCTCCTTGACTTGAAAAAATTACAATTGACTCCCAACAAATCCTTCAAAATAAAGAGTTCAGCTACCACGATAGAAGCACAACAAAATAGTACAATATAAACGTTATATTTGTTTATTCTAATTGGAATTAGCAATTGCCATACTACTTTCCATTTACCAAAATATAACATAATCCTCCCCTTCCCTAAACTCCGCCCTCCCATAATATATCTTTTGACGCTCCCTAAGAAAATGTATTTTTTTCCCCACAATTTTCCTCACAATTATGGCTCAATCATCCTCCTTTTTAATCTTTCAAGACACAGGACCTGATTCGGAGGGGAACAGCGAGCTGCAGCTGTTTGTGTATTGACATTTCCAGAATTTCAGAAACCTTTCCTCTCTTTCAGTGCTACAGGGTGCAGATTTCTAGTGTTTAGCTACAAAATCTCATCGCAAATCTTCCCAGTCTCCTATTGACGCTGGTTGGGACTATTTTTTAAATATCTTGAGAGAAAGGATCTTAAGCCTTGTCCTCTGAGGATGAATTATTAAACATCATCCATAATAACGTAGATCCCTGGCCAGGCTGCGGCCTCTAACCTCAGAGGAGACAGTTGTGATCATTAACCAGTCCTTTGGGATGAGCCCCAGCCCATGAATAATGTGCAGCTCTACCTGTGTTCTGAATCATGATTTCTCACTTTCCCTTATTTCCAGCATGTCACTTGAAGAAACATGTGACAGCTTAAGCATTTGAGATATCATAATAATTAAACAAATTTTAGGAAACACGCTTATTAGTTGTATTTCTAAGATCCTGGATACTTCTTTATTGCTTATGCGATTATTTTGAAGCTGGAGAGCAGAGATGTTTAGCTTAGGTTAGTTTAGCATTAAGTCTGGAACCAGGAAAAACCGCCAGCCTGTCACTGATAAATGTCTTTTAGATTCATTCAAACTTGTAATATTATTCTGCGAACTTTATGGCTGTAGTGATAGCAATATTCATCAGTTGGAACTTCTTGATTCAGACTAACATATCTCAACAACAAATGGATGCATTCGGATGGATTTGTATAAAAATATTCATGGTCCCCAGAGGGTGATCAGTTTAATTTGACTAGTTTTCTGTGTTGTTTTATGACAACATACCAACAAAACTGACTCAGATTTACCGTGTGCTTAGTGCTAATTTAAACCTAAACATTTAGACACATTGTAAGCATGTTGCTATGCTAGCGTTAGCATGTAGCTTAAAGCACCGCTTTGCTAAAGTACAGCGTTACAAAGACACTAGCATGGGTAATACTGTTAGATTTGTTTTAACTTGGTGCTCTGTCTTCATTTTAAGCTAAGTTCTCCTTCTCCTAGTTTAATAGCTTCATCAAAACAAGTGTATTTCCATAAAATACACAAGGTCTAATTCATCAGGAAACTACGAGAGTTTCAGCAATGTTTCTTCTGCAATATTTCTTGTTATAATGCTAGACAATGGTTGTAGCCATGATTAAAGAAAAACAGAAATGGTACCAACTAGAAAACTCCAAAGCAAAGGAGTCACACACACACACACACACACACACACACACTGTATCTGAACTCAGACATCAAACTAAGATCATCGATTGAGTTTTTTAAAGACCCTGCAGTGAGAGTTTGAGAGGAAGTCAAAGAGCTGAACAACTTTTGCTTTAGCAACAGAAACCTTTGATAACAGCTCAGGCTTGGAAGAAGCCTCTGTGTCATTTACAGAATTCCAGGAGCTAATGGAAACTGCATTTGCATTAGGACACAGGAAATGACCTCATGAGTTCACTTGCACAAGGGATTAGATAGCTCTCTTTTTTTACGCTATGAAATGGAAAATATAAAGATAGAGGAAGCTTTTTTTAACACGACATGAGAAGAGAAAAATACTGAAAAGGGACAACTGGCGGTAATTGAGTCAGTACCAGCAGAATTCATCCAGCGTTATTTGATCTCCCAAACCTTTTCCTTTTCCCAAACAAAGGCACGACAGCGACCACAAAGGCTGCTCTATTTTCTCCCCTCCCTCTCATTTCTGCCTCCGTTTCCCATCACTTACATCATGACAGATTCAAGAACACACGCAGAGACACGCACCTATTCAACGGGACATCACAGGGTCACTGTTGACGCACGGTGGTAGCCATAGAGCTGAAATGCACAAAATGACGTCAAATAAAAAGGGTATCTTTTCCTCTGTCTCCTACACGGTGGTCCATTTTCACAAAACCCATAAAAGACAGTAACGGTGACAACACCATATCTATCATATTGGGTACATTTCCCTTTTTTTGTAAGCTTAAGGTTCTTTGATGTGAGATAATGGATTAAAACCATAATAGCTAACCCCCCCCTCTGTCCCACAAACCATTTCCTGTTACATTAACAGGGTCAGAGAAAGGGATGAATGAGGTTACATTATCTAAAAAATACTAAACATACTAAGTGGGTGGAAATTACAATGTTCTCCCATGGGCTGCAGGTTGTTGTTGCAGTATTCAAATAATTACACTTTTCACCTTTTTAATGTCAGTGCTAAAGTAAGTTAATAAGGGATTCTGGGCAGGCTAGGGTGGGTGAATTAATTGTGTTGTATTTGCTAAAATACTTTTTACATCCGGACAGCAATTAATACATCAAATGCTGTTAAAAAATATATATATATCCTGTATCTGTGGCTTTTGCAGTACAATAATAAGTCAGTCAGGATCTCTAGCTTCTAGCTAGCTTCTTTAATTTGAAAAGGGTTTGCCTTGGTTTTTTAATTGAATAATTTGAATAATATTGTACTTCTAGGCAATTTTTGTTTAGGATAATTACGTTTTTAAACACTCACACACTTTGTCAAGTCAATTTTAATTAGTTTTTAAACGACTCGTGGCCAAAGGTTTTTACGGGTTAGGGATGAGGATTATGAGATGTGAGTGGTATGGGATGTGAGGCTACTGTTAATGCTTCCAATTCAATAAATATCTGAGGCAGACTTTCCACTTAAAGTAGTCAGACTGAAAATAAGCACATTTTTAAAAGAAATCTGCACCTGAGCAGCCACTTCTGACTGCAGTTTATAGGGGAAAAAAAGTTCTGAAATGTTCTGTGCCAACACTGGCATCAACTTTCATGAGTGATAGTAGGCCAAATGAATTAAATATAACTATGAAGCTGTTACATAAGCTACAGATTCATTATTCAACTCAACTCTGATTATTAATATTCCAGGTAAGTGACCGAGCTACAATTTTGAAACCATTTTGTACAGTATTTTATTGTCAACAATTCTATTAAAAGTGAATCATTTTGATATCATCTTTGAACAGGTAAGTTAGACAAGCAACAGGATGACCTTCACACATTTCTGTATAATTTGATGCATTTATTCTTACAAGCGGAAAAACTCATTTCTAAAGAATTCAGATGCTATCTTAAGCTAATATTAGCATTAACACGTATGGGCTGTTGTTTCTTTCCCTTCCCCTCCCCCTTCCCAGGGATCTTTCCGAGGAGCCCTCTCTCCAGCCCCTCAGAAAGCCGCCGCCGCCCCACGTAAGCGCGGACCAGAGAACGCTGTGGTCAGCTTCTTCCGCACGATCGTAAGTAATAATACACTATAGCTTTCACAGGAGGAGTCCCCCCCCCCCCCCAGTCTCTCCTTTTGCACCCTCCATGTTTGTTTCTTCACTTTCTCTGATCTATGTCAAACTCTGTCAAATCTCTTTCCTCCCTGTGGTTAACTCCTCTCAGGTGTCCCCTGCCCCTCCCAAGTCTAGGGTGAGTCTGCTTCATGTCGCTACTATTGAAGTCCAAATGTTCTCTTAAACGTGAATTAGGCTAAAGACCAGTATTTTCAATACTAACATTAAATGTGTAAAGGAACAAAAGTCAAGGATTTTAGCTTAAGTGTAATCTGAACTTCCAGGATTTTGTGTTATAGAAAGTTAAAATGTCTACATTTGTATTTAATTTCTTTTTTATAAACCTTATATAATTAAGCATTTATAGCACTGAAACTCCTTAATTCCTTTGAACAGCAACCTATCCTATTCCATGCTAAATTATGTTTGGATATAGGACTAAAAGTCTAATTATTATCATATTGCAGGTCTAGGACAGTAACTGTGATTTGAGTATATTATTAAGTAATGAGACTTTTTATTTGAAACCCATCTACTGTAAATGTGCAAACAAAATAACACATTTGGATAAAGTTTGACGAATGCAAATACCATTCAAATTCAAACATTTAACCCGAATGTTTGAACACAATGCATTTAAAACTTTTGACTGGTATTAAATAAATTCTTGATGTGCTACGTCTGCAGAATGTCACTAAATGTGTGCTCTTTTCAATGTGAGCCTCGCTCCTCTCTCCTCCCCCCCACATCATTCCCTTTGTTCCTCATCTGCTCCTGCCCCCCTGTGACCCTGTGACCCTGTGACCTCCCCCCCCCTGGATGGACCCTCCTCTCCATCCCATCCTGCCTTTGCGCTGAGTAAGACACTCATTTCTATTTGTCTCCTCTCCCTTTTACCTTTTGTTCTTGTCTCTTGCTTCACATCCAGTGGAGAGGACTAGTTGCCAAGATGGGCCTGGTAGGTGTTTTAAAAAGAAACACATATCATGCCTAATTAAACCGAGGGGGCAAGTGAGGTCACCCTCGAACAACAGCCTTCGAGTGTAACGCCTGTGGCTCTATTCTCATTTAGTCTCCATCAAGCACTTCAGCCGCTGTAATCAGTCCATACATCAGCGATAACGACCTCATTTCCTTCCGACTTCAGTCCATTTCCAAATAAACCATACCCATTTTGTAGCTTTGCAGCCTGACTTATCATATCATGTGCTTGTATTGTATATTTTCTGATAAAACAGGCATTGTCCGGCTCTTAATTAGCCTAGTTTTATTTTAAAAAATCCTCTGTGGCTGACTAAAGTGAAGCTGCCTTGTGCTTCATTAGGCAACGTTATCAGCTCTTCATTTAGGGCCCTCATGCATGTGTGTGCAAGTGTGATTATGCTCAGAAAAAGAGACCGTGTGGAAATGATTTGGGCAGGACAAAATGTAAAAAAGAAAAATCTGTATATTTTTATGTTTTTTTTCCTATTTCTGGTAATTAATATTTGATTTCAGCCTTCCTTCGCAAAAGCTAATACAAAAGCAATAACTTTTAAGTGCGCCATAGTTCATATAAATTGGCATTCCCAAAAGACAACAGCTCTGTCTTTGCATTTGAGTTTTATTAATCTGTGCATTGGTGGCCCAGATACGAAGTCCCATGAATATATTATAGTTTAAATTAGGCCACTATTTGAAGATAGAATTGTGCCAATTTCTATTATTTCGATATTCATAGGTTTCAAGTCAAATATGCTGAAGTTGTTTTTTGTTTTTTATGGGTATCAACCTAAAACCAGATTTAAAAAGTCAATGGTTACGCATGAAATTACCCACTGGTGGTTTCTAAATTCTCAACAAAAATGCAAGCAGAGAACTTTTCTTTTTTATATTTTATATAAAGTTTGCTGAGCTAGATATTTTTTCCAACTAAAAATGTGGCAAATTGGATTGCACCGTAATCAATAGCTGGTTTCCTCCAATATTCTGGGTTTCTGTCAAGCCTGCCGCTCCGTCACTCCCGAGTACACCCTGGAGTAAGAGGTCTGATATTTGATCTTCTCATGTCTCCTTGCTCTCTATAATGAGAATCTGGGGATCTCTGAAGAAAGGTCAGTCCCATGTTAATCCCCTGCTGAACATCTCTAACACTGCTTCCTTCTCTCCCTCTGGCAGGGCGACCAGAAGTCACAGTCTGCTAAAGCCAAGAAGGCCAGTGCAGGGGACGGCAAAGGCACCCTGACTAGGATCTTCAAAATGGTAAAAGAAATGCATGTCAAACACTTTTCATTCCCACTGGTTTCTTTACACTACTTCTCTCTTCTGGAACTCAAATCGAATAGAACAAGTTGTATTTCCCTAATCACTTTCTTGCCCCTCTTTCTTTCTTCCTTCTGCCTCAGTGATGATATCAGCAGCAGAGTGAGTAACTTCTTGGTCATGGAGGGATACTTGAGTTTAACTCACTTTTTGTTCAACATTGATATGCTGAGAAGACATCCTAATCTCATTAGTCCTGCAGCAGCGGCAGCAGCAGAATAATAAGAGACTTTTAGAGACGAGATTGATTATTGTGCATGCTTCAAGCGTTGTGCCCGCTCTGATATAATCACGCCGAAGATGTTAGATCCAGCTGTGATGAGCGTCCGGTGGGGCTTTGGCTAACATTCTTCATCTGCTTTACAGGGGGGGTGGGGGAATGGTTGTGCGTTATATAATATAACATTATTATGCAATATCGCCAATAACTTATCAAGCATGACTGACTTCTAGGATTGCTTTGGAGAACTCACACAAATGCTGGCAGAATATACAACTTGCCATCAGGCACACATAACAATGCCATCAATCCATATCATCCATAGCAGCATCATATCTATGAATAATACCTAAATACAATATTTTAATACTTAATAATATCCTGGTACTGATGTATGTGTTACACACTACATATTGCATTTAAAGCCTGTGTAATCAATACTTTCAAAATATCATTGCCTACAATTACTTTGTCTAGTGTGAAACTTGAGGCTTATAGTGACTAACGCATAGAGTATCACTCCCAACTCTGCATTTCCTTTTAGTGCTACCTAGCATTTTAGCATCTTTCTGGAGCAGTAGTATACACTTAGCAGCATAGGCTTTTTTTTCAACAACAGCTCTGATAACTTCACTTGCTACCTGCCCAGCATTAATTCTGAATAATTTAATGGGTACACACATTTTCCGAGTTGGTGGAGGCTAAAACAGAGCCAAAAGTAGAATGAATGCTACCTTCATCGTGTGTTCAGAGACAAGACGTCAAACGACAGGTCTTTATCGATGTTCAAAATGTAAATAGGCAACCTATAAGGAGCTTAAATACAATCACAGCTATGTTATTGCATGTTTCAAGCATCCATAACCATTTACCGAAGTTTAACTTATATTTGCTAACTGTTACCTTGACAAAAATGTGAATACTTTCTTATATTCATTGAGAACAACTGTTCCAAAAGTGTGCCATTTTGTACTTATTAATTACTTATAAATGCTGTATAGTCACAACTTTGGGAATTCTGATATTTTACATATATGTTAATATCATTTTGTATGCTAATGCTAGCTTACATAATGTTCGCTAGCGTGGAAATGTCACCATAAGAGAGTCAAAGTAAACTGGCTAGCATCCATCAGCTGTAGCGGTGTTGAAATAATGGGTTCCCTGTTTAAAGCATACTAGTGTGTGAAAAATAAACCCTGGAATCATTGAGGTTTGGGACAAAAGAATGAAGTACACATCTTTTTTTTGCAGTTTACTGAAGTACCTCTCACTCTCGCAAAAAACAATTTTGCTGGCCAAAAAAGCCTCCAAACATTTCATGTCAAACCTTCTCAGAGCAGAGGTGGTATGACTCAGTGTAATGAGGTGTTCAAACTCCCACTCAGAAAATGTAATCTGATACCGTTTAGCATCCTCCCAGTTCCTCACACACTCATCAGCACTTACTTGAGACTGCAGTTTTCACAACTTCTTGACTTTCCTCTTCTTAGTTGATTTGTTTTCTGTCATGAAAAAGAGTGTTGCATTTTATGCTCTGCCCGTTTTAATTAGCCAGCCTCTCAATGTACCTTAGATTACTTAGTTTAGCAATTACTGATGCTGAAAAAGAAATTCAAATTTCCCTGGGGTTGCATCCTCCTCGGTAAGTTGTTGTCACTAAACTCTGGGATGTTATATTCAGGTCTTTCTGATACAGCTAATTCGCATTGAAATGATGCCATCACCCTATCACTCTATCCGCGTCTACCAAACATAACAGGGCTATTCAGTCCAAACGGAAGTGAGCATAAATCCATGTTAACTTTTAAATAATGTTTCATGCTTTGTTTCTTCCCATTTGTCAGCTTTCATATTCAGATATTGCTGTATATTGAGTTTTGTCGTTCATGACAGATTAGGAATTTCATCTGAAATGTCTGATAGAACAGTTTAGAACAAAGGCTCAGTCTCAAGCCTTTGTTTTCTAAAAAGGGGTGAATCGTTTCTCACAATAGGGCTCATCTTCCTGAAGCAATCCATCAAGATTTGTCTCATTTGTATAATCTGTGTGCCTCTAGCCCCCTTTACTTCTGTCACTTTTCAATGTGAATAAAAGTGAGGGGTGGAAAAAGTATAATATAATCACAATCTGTTGAAACAGATTGGAAATGGACCGAGTTTCCTAGCCAACTTTCAAATTATTTTCTTCTCTTTACTTTGGGTAAAAACATTGAATTCATATCAATTAGGGACCATTTGTCTGTACATGAAAACAAAGCTCCCTATGAGCAACATATGGAAGCCCATTTCTGCCAAGACAAAACAACGATGTAAGCAACGAAATGCTAACAAAGTTAGAAGTTTTAAATCACGATTATGATTTCATAAGACAACATTATGAAGTTTAATGTCATAATGATGAAAGAAAATAAGTAAAAAGTTACTTTTTAAGACAAAATGAGTTTGCATTTCAGACGAAGGATGAATATGTATTAAAGCAGACAGTATTATAAACATCATCTTTTTTACAAACATGAGAGCATACAAACATGTTCTAGTGGTGACCCTTTTTAAAAAACCCCAGAGTGGTCCTTAAATGCCAGGGTCTTTCATTTCCACATATTAATTAAATATGTCTTGTGTGTCAACAGGGAAGCAGGAGTGCTTCTCCAGTGAAACGCTGAAGCCCCCCTCTAGGACCCCTTCCAACAGCAGCAGGGCACGTTCAAGATCACGGCACTAAAGAGGGGGAAAAGAGGAAGAAAAGGAGGAAATCTTGTCACACCGTAAACTCACCTTCCCCTCCACCTCTGATAACACTCTAACATTCGCTAACCCCCTCATCTCATGTCCCCCTTCCCATCTTGGCTGGTAGATAGCGACACAATCTGTTGCCCATCCCCCCCCCCCCCCCCCCCCTGCATGCGTTGTGCTGAGTCTGTGAAGTCATCATCCTTAGCGTGAACTTTTTGCTGATCCTGCTCACATGTGCAGCCCGAATGACCCCCCCCACATCTGCAATGGCTCTCTATACTTGTGCTTGAGTTTATTGTGGACGTCTTGTATGGTTTCTTTAACAAATAAGGTGGATAAACTGAAGCAAACCCAGAGCAGTTGAAGGATTATGGCCGGTGCAAGTCCGACTGACTTGACCGTTATTGCCGCTTTCTGCTTGTCGAAAAGTCTGGGGTGTTTTCGTTTTTTAAGAGCGGTTTTATGTCTCGTCACACTGTCTTTGTCATTCTCTCAAACCTTTTCTGTGAACCCGAACTGATTAATCAATTCTTATGGAGAGCCATGTGTTTTCATTCAAACCATTGTGTCTTAGCTGTAGTTAAGTGTCCTGTCTTAAATGTGATGTCGATCTATGTTTGTCTTTAGGGCCTAAGATTGGCTTTGGTTAAATGTTAAAAACTTTCTAATGTATTTCTTTTTCAGTCCATGAGATAATAATACACTAATTCTCCTCTTCATATATAACCACAATGTCATGTCCACCTAGCCAGACTCTTATTCTGAAAGGTGATGTTGTTCCTAGAGCATGATGTCAGATTCAGAACCTTTTATTTGAGCTTCAGTGTCGTCTAGTCTCTCCTTTGTTGTCGCTGTTTTTTTCTGACACTCAAACTGTAAATTAAATCAACAAAAACCCTTGTGCCTGTCCTCCTGACTACCAACAAAATGTGCTGTGTTGCCTTCCTGTGTAAAATAAAAGAACACCATTTCAAAAAGGTGCTCTGTAACTAACTTTGGAGTGACACAAGATAAAGTGTTTTTTGGGAATGTGTAAGTTGCAAGTTTTCTCAGAAATAAAAGCTCAGCACTACCACTTGTGCTGTTCAAAGCATCCATTGTCCATATGTCTTGTAAAGCATCTCTTCCACTGTGTGTGTGCTTGAGCCTCCTGAGTGCTATGTAGTGTTGTGTCTGAATGGATCCTGTGGATGAATGTAAAGATCCTCTTCATTACTGTATGTGTAATTAAACATGACCAGCCACTAAACTGAGAATAAAAAATTAAAAAAATGATAAAACCAACGTTATTCATGTTGTGTATGTGTTTAGTCATGGGGGTCAAAGGAATTAGCTTAATACACGGAAGGGGAGGAACATGATATTATTGCTTCAGCATCACAGCAGGCACATGTAGTTTCTCTCACAAAGCCCCAATTCATGACTCATTGGGTCATTGTTCATGCAGCGCTATAAGAGCGACTCGTGACTGGAACAGTTGGAGCACCATGCATGCTGACGTACAATCACATAAAGGATATGCACTTTCATGGCATGTGGAAATGAAAAAGAAGGCTAGCTGATAATGAAACACAAACAACGATCCCTTTAAATACATTTGTTTTATTCCTTTCAAATATATAAATGTTTTCTCACACAACAGAGGATGTATTGAGGAATAAAACATGAATCAGAGGGAAGGCAGTATACTGTCTTCCTTGCTAATTAAGCACAGGGAGGTCAACTTAACAGACAGTTTGAGAAACATCACAATGTTCTAATACTGAGACATGATTGAATTACTGTGTAAAGTTATAAGATCAATATAAGATGTTTGGGCTTCACATTTTGATTAGGCTCCCATACAATACCTTGCGAAAGTATTCACCCCTTTGGCTTTTATGCAGTAAAACCTGACATTTTAGTTGATTTTTGGAGAGATTGTAGTATTTGATATGCACAACATGCCTACAACGTTGAGGACATAAAAAACTATACTGTCATTCTTTTCATATTTTCGTCATATTTTTGCATATTTACGAATATATGAAAATATGCAAAAATGTATGTCGATATTTTTTGAAAAAATGACTAAGTATAGTAAGTTCAACATATTAAAAAAATGACATAGTATAGTATAGTAAAATATATTAATAAATGTTTCATTTATAAAGAACGAGTTTATGTGTTTGTGTGCGTAAATCAGCCTCTGTTCACCGAGCCGACTCCGATGTTCAGACTATGAGACTACAATAATTCATTATGCTATCATATTTTCTCTCTTAGTAGAGAGTGGTGCCCCAACCTTATTAAACGTTATATTAACTACGTAAATAATTAATAATTAAATCTGCACGAGCAATATATACTACATATGTTGCCCACGTGCGAGGCCCATACATGCTACAAATACTATGTCGTTTTTTGCATATTTTCTACATACTATATACTATGTCGTTTTATAAAAAAATATTGACATAATATACAATGACCTTTTTGCATATTTTAGACTTACTATACTATTTATATTATGTAAAATATCTTTACACGATTACAACATGGTAGAGCAAGGGAGAGTATCGACTCGAGAAAGAAAGGCTGTTTCAGAGTGATTTCATGTGCCGAGTCAGGGTCGCAGTTTCTCCTTACTTCCAGGCTGGAATTAAAAATAAAAATATATAATAAAATATAATAAAAACCAATGCAAGTTGAAATTAGTAGAAAAATTACTTTAATCTTCTTAATTTATTATGGACAATAGAAAATTCAACTGCAAAAACAAGAAGGGAAAAAAAGCGTCTGTACATTGGCTTCAATACAAATGCAACATTATGTTCAAATTACATACTTCCAAACACTCCATGTTATGGCAGTTCATCCAAAAATATAAACAATCTAAATACACTTTTTACAGAATGAACAACAGCAAAAGAAAATATCAGTGCTGTGAGTTGTCAAGATATGAACAAGACACCCAAAACTGACATCAAGTCAAAAAACCTCGTATAAGATCCAGGGAACCTCGACCAACATGTGCAACAACGACGTAACAAACGGCAAATGACCTTTTACTTCAAATATAAATATGTACAGCACAAATATGTAAAAAAAGTGACTCAATTCTTGTAGACGTAGCTGTTTGTAGCTTTGTTTGTTCCTGTGGGCACATACAAAATGAAAAAAACAATTGTCCATGGGGAGCTTTTCCTCCAAATCGAATTTCCCCTCCGTCCAATAGGGTCAGCTCGATAGGGACCTGCTTCTTCTGGAGAATTCTCAGTTTGTTGAGCTAAAGCTCTCCGGAGGTTATCATATTGATGACAATCAGAGCAAAACAGATAAAAGTCATTAAGCCCATCACAGGGAACCAGACTCCCCCCACTCCACTGCTAATTTGGACAAACAGAACGGGGGCAGCTACCCGGGTAAAAGCCCTCGGTAAACAGTGGAGTCTTCAATCTTTTTCTAACCGAATAAGCCTTTTGGTAGGAGGACAATGTTTGGCAAGGCTTTTCTCTTTGAACAGTGCTTTCTGAATGGGGGGGGGGGGGGTTGTCACGGGAAGACATGGTGCCAGTCTCCGGATGATTCAGGAACCACCTCCAGGTCGAGGTCGGGCGTCACCTCCACCTGAGACGCTGATTCTTCTTCGCCCAGGGTCACATCATGGATCTGACCTGGAGGGAGGAAGAGGAAGAATTGAAGAATGAGAAGGGAGAGAGTGCACTCCTTGAGATATGTAATAAAAGTGCTTTGTAAACCAGAAGGAACAATTCCATTAAAATGCATTTACAGTGCAGCGCCTGCAGCTCGGATTCTGTATTTCAATTTGCCAGTGGCTGTCACCCAAATGAGAACATTATTCAGAAAGCAATTCCGCCTCCTGTTTTAATTTCTCGCATTTTCCGTTCTCTGAAAATGACATATCTGTTACACAAACTACATAATAGGACGTTATAGTTGTGGAATATGCTCGTTGTGAGTTTAAAATATAATGTGTGCTTATTAAGTTGACAATATTGAGAGAACAAACTACAATTAGTCACTTTGGGAAAGGCTGAGAGATTCAGACATCTTTTTCTGCTGCTCCAGGCCAAGCACTGAATAGAGTTTTACAGAGGGAGTGTTTTAATGATCTCCCTCTACTGTTGCTGTTTATATCTGAAACCCGTCCAACACACGTTCATTACGGTGCAAGCACATGAGTGTGTGAGAAATAGCTGTAAGCGGAACAGCCACGCAACATAGACAAATACAACTAATGTGAAGGATTACTTTCAATGTTTTTTACTAAATCCTACATTGCAAACGGGGCTGGAATCATGAGCAGTCTACAGGGAAATCTTAGATCCTGGTTTCCCAGGAATTCCTGTCAAAACATAATTGAGTTTCTCAGGAAAAATTCCTCCACGATCCCTCGAGTTTTAGCATGTGTGTGCTTGTGTAAATTCTTGCACAGAAGAATATTGCATGATCTGAAAGATGACTATGATTGTAGATAAAGTCCAACCTTAAAGGGGCCTTATTATGCAAATGTTGAGGTTCATATTTGTGTTGCAGTGACATGTCTCCATGTTTTAATGTTCAAAGAGTTCTTTCTTTTTCTCATACTCTCTTTTCACCCTCTGTCTGAAACCAGAGCCCAGTCTGCTCTGATAGCTGGCTGGCTCTGTTGTGATCGGTCAACCGCATAGAGATGTCCCGCCCCTTACTGTATCACATACAATGTGTTGGAGCGCTAGCCAATAGAAGTTTGATGTCACTATGTTACGGAAGTGAACAAAGGATTAAAATGGATGTGTTTCAGGCAGTGGAGGGAACTTTTGCAGACCATTTACATGCACCAGAACCTTTAGAACACCCTCCAGGAAAGCCTATAAAAGCATAATAGGGCCTCTTTAACGTGCTACATCTTATTAATATAACAGGAATCCTCTGCAGTGTTTTTCTCGACTTTTGTACAGTTCAGCCGTGCGTAAGAATATTTCTTTGTTTGAGGTAAAGAAAAGCGTTCAAACTATAAAAATAAACAATGCAGACGGTTTAGTCGCTGCAGTTTCATTAATGACCAACTTTCCCTTCCTTTCTACGTTTAATCATGCTAATCTGAGGTACTCGGCTGTAAAACCTGTAAGAAAAGTGGAGAATTTTCCATCTAGCGTGTTATCATG